TCAGGGCAAGCCTCCATCCACGCCTCTTTGCCTTGGAGAGGGATGGTCTTAGTCTCTTGTTTTCTCTCCTGCAAACACAGCACACAGATTAAGGGAAATTTCTCTCCAGGGACAGCTCTCCATGCCCTCCATGATGTTCCCTCTGCCTTTGCAGCTTTTATCCCCAGAGCACTGTATGTCTCCCTCCAGATCACATTAAGCAATGTGATGAGCACCTCTCCCATGAGCATCTATCTCTTCTCCCTTCCTTCCCCAAGGGGAAAATTGAGTGGGAATAGTTTTAATTAACTACACTGTACGTGCACAGTGTTTATACCGATGCAGACAAGGCTGAACAAGTGTGCCTTACACTTGGAAAGAGAGGTGCTGAGGTTTGTGGCTACTCTGAAGTCTTGAGCTCATCCCACAGCAGAGAACCAGCCCCAGAGAAAGCTCTGGCTTTGGACTACACTGGGCTTACCCCAGTGCAGACACAGAGAGGGAGTGAATATATCAATACCCAGAGCATCGGCACTCTGCAGAGCTAAGGCAATTCTATATGCAGCCCACACCAGAGCCACTGTGTGAGTCCAGGGAAACACAAATGTAACCTAGCACTCCATGGAGATCCTCCACAGAAATCGGAGGTTGAAGTGACGTTTTGGGCAGGATTCAGATCTACGTTAGGACACCTACATTCAGAGACATAGTTGCAGATGTCTATGTGAGCTCTTGGTGTCTCAGCTCCCTCATTAGTCCACAGGGATCTTGTCCACCAAGACCCCTCCATCCTGACAGTGGGTACCTACTTCATGGGGAACCACACTGCCCTCGAGGCCCCACAGACTGCACTAAGAGACACATGAAGATACAGTCAGAAGCCAAAATCGTGTCTTAGCCTTGAGCTGGCTATTACCTTAGGTATCCTCCTTGTGTCTTATGTGTGTGGTGCAAAGATTAATATTGTGTAAAAAGCCAAATATTTTCTTTTCCAAAGGTATTTAGAATGGCCTTAAAAATGTGTAGGAAACATGCTTATTTTATATATAAAAATGCCTAATGCTGGCAGTTGTGAGATTTAAAAATTAAATGCAATTTGTTAGCCAAAATATATATAAGGAGGAGGGCTTTCAAATAGGCTGTTGTGTAAAGGTTCTGGAGAGTCCTTGGGTTTTACCATATATGCATAGAGGAGATTCCCCAGATTGACACTCAGGCAGTAGATGATATCTGAATCACTGTGTTTCTCATTATACAGACCACATAGACCAGAGAAAAATACCCTTAGAGATGTTTTTCTGCATCTCTCTGATGAAGGCAGAGAGACAACAAGCTATATGCTCAAAATCAGAAGAAACCCCATCAAAGGGGCAAGAACCAAACCCAGTTCACTCAAAGCACAGCATCATTCTAGCAACTTGTTTCTCTGTAATAAGGGATTTCTTTTACTGCTTTCTCCTCAGCTGGCATTCCTACAGCTATTTATAGTTTCACTTCATAACCAGTGGTTAATACTTTCAAGGTAGTGTAGTGTGTGGTCACCCACACCGAAGATGTGGCTGTTTCTCCTGTGCTGCCTAAAGTTTGTTGCCATAATACTTAGGATCTTTCTGCAAGGGGCTGTGGGGAGCTGTTGGCAGAGGGTAGGGAAGATGTCCTGCTGCCTTGGGAAGAAGGCTTTGCTCAGACCACCATGCTCTGCAAGGCTGTGCATGGGCTTGCAAAGCTGTCACCTTCTCCTGAAGATGTCCCACATTGGGATTTCATGGACCTTTTTGTTTTTCTGCTGGTTTTAACCCTTGCTTTTCAAAGTGCAGCTGCATGCTCCTAAATATGTGAGTTAAACATTACTGCGCTCTAGATCAAAGACGAGTATTTCACGCCTTCTCCTGCACTATTGTGCAGTGACAAAGTTCCTGGTGACTTAAGTGGGAGGGAGGCTGCGTCCTGGGAGACAAAACTTAATTGAGTGCAATACCACAGGGCACATAAAGTAGGACAACACAGCCTGACCTGATTTTGCCCATACATAACCCTACTGACATCAGTGGGAGCTGCACATATGCAGTCAGGAGATGACATTTGCCCACTCTTGGCTGCTCTAGGAAATTCCTGCTTGCCTGATAAATTCTATTATTTGATCATGCCATATGCAGGTGAGGGATACAGCAAGTAAAGCTGAGCAAACACAGCTCAGCTCCCCGCCTGTTTGAAGTTGTGGAAAGACTCCTTTTGACGCTGGTGGTTGTTGGATTGAGCCCACAGTACACAGTGATTCACAATCATTTTCCTCAATGAAAGCAACCAGGTTGGTTTGTTGTTATTTGTGGGATCACATGATTCATGATTTGCGAATCTTTGAATGCCAATTGGACATTCTGATGCCTGTGAACATCAGAATGTAGCTTCCACTGTGTTAGCACAAAATGGTTATTCATACAAACTACTGTGCCAGAACAGACTTGTTTGATACTGTACACTTATTACCCTCCTGTTTCTAGAAAAACTCTGCAAGTAGAAAGGGCACTATTTGGCAAAGCCAACAAAGCTTACACCAAAACAGTGACTATTGCGAAGGAATTGCTCATGAGCAATCCTTAGACTAATACTTACTTGCATTCATCACAGTCCAATAATTAAAACCAGCGCTTACTGCTGTAGAAAACAGGACGGGGATGACTTACAGAGAAAAGGCTAGATGGGCAAGTAATGTTTCAGCTGTCTCTGCTTGGTGCAGGCTGCAGGAGCAGAAGCAGAGCTCGGCAGAACTCTGAATGTCCCAGATTTTGAATCTGGGATTTCTTAAGGCTAATCTTGCTTTAACTCTAGGGTCTGTTTTCCCTCCAGAAAAGGATATGAAAAGAATATGGTAGATGCAACATGATTCTGCAATACTTAGGCAAAATGTTAGCGTGTTTAACAATACCAGTTACTCAGAGGGAGGGTGGCTTTTCATCCTTGGAGACACGTAGGACCTGACAAAAGGCGGCTTCCAGCAGCCTGCTCTCAACTGGCCCTGTTTGGGCCAGGGTTGGACCTGGGACCACTGGAGGCCCCTTCTGTTTGAGAAAAGCAATGAAATATTTTAGTGCCTCAAACTAACCAAACCAAAACTACCATTCTTGTAAAATATTTTTCCTCCACCCAGCAAAGCCCTATGACGGGTCTGTGACATAGCGCCTGTGTGTCGTATCAAAAGGATGTCGCTGTAATTGCATACAGATTTATAATCCATTCCTTTGCAGCAAATGTCATCAAAAGACTCAAGACTTGGAATGATACAGCATTCCCAAGTATATTTTTCCTGTGAGCACATCCCCTTTTCAAGGGAGACATCATGGTGTCCCAGAGAGCTGGTCCAGATAAGCATGGGGTGATTAAGGGGTCCCCATCTGTCCCTAGGGCTGAGTGAGCTGGGCAGAGCTGCACAAAGCACATGGTGCTCCCACTACATCCCATGTCCGAGTCCTCTTGCCCTTGGGCAGCAGCCAGATGCGAGTTTGGTGGTCAAGAGACCCTCTGCAGTCATGTCACACACATCATCCCTTGTCACCTCCCCTCCTCGGTAATACAAACGGACATTTGTTTACACCAAACTGAGCAAATCTAATATTTATTTCACATTTAGGTCACAGAACAACAAAACAAATATTTTTACCCCAAACACATTCCCTGACCTTGTGGCTTCACTCCTGATGCGCAGCAATATTTGCTTTCACTTAAACTGGAATTAAAATAAGCTACATAGGATCCTGCACTGGTCTTTAAGGCAACAGCTCAACTCCCTGTGCACCCGGATATGCTCTGGATGCTGCTCCTAATTTTACTGGAACCAGGACAGGATTATTAAATTCATATTTCCTGGATTCGCTCACTTCTTTTCAGGCCTGAAAACCAAAATTATTTAAACACTCCAAATGCTAAGTATTAAAAATTATATTTAACAATCTCAGCATAAACAGTGCCTGCAGGCCTCATGAAAATCTAAAACAATCCCATTGTTTGTAAAGATGCACCTTTCAAAGATTATTTTCTCCCTTTCATCCTGTGTAGGCCAAGGATTGCATTAGCACTGCTCCACTGAAAGCTCTGAAATGCTTTGCACATGGAAAATTGACCTTTTCTGGGGTAAAGTTTGCACTACTTTCAAGGAAGAAACTGCCTAAGAGAGAATTTAAAAAGCTTAGGAAATCTAGTGGTCCCTTCAGGTTTGGAGTAATGAGTAAAATAAAATGTTCTTGCTGATTTCCTTCCCCCTGTAATTGAAATAGATGTCGTACTGGAGCTGCGAAACTGCTGCCAAGTTACCACCCAACTGAGCCGATTTACATTGCCTGCTCAACCTCGGCATGATGTAAAATGCCCAGGATGCCCAATGTAAACTTATTTATAGCCTGGGAGGATATGCTGAGGATACAGGGATAATATTATATATGTATGCATATGTATGCCTGTATACACATAAAGGGGTATAGCTAAGCAAACTTTCGTATCTGAGGCTGTGGCATGGCATGGTTACCTGGCTGTAAAAGACCCGGGTTTTAACTGCACTGTGGATGTGATCCTCTTTTACTGGCTCACCCAAGCTTCCCTTCAGTTGGTTTACTTGGCATCTGAGCACTAAGTCATTTTGTGAAAGACCAGTCAGATAAACACAAATGGGCCCCAGTCTCATTAGGGTCACTTCTCACGTTGGTTTGGGTGGAGGAGGCTGGGGAGGACAGGCATCTGCTGATGGGCTAACCTTCAAGGCAGCTTTGTCTCCCTACAAAACCCTTCCAAATGAGTTGGCTTTGCAGAGCTACCCAGTATTTCACAGGTAAACGATAGACTGTCTACACAGCTCTAGGTGGGATAAAACGGAGGTTGTCACCATCGCGTGAAGTGGCACGGGCACAATTCCTGCCATACTTGAAGGGTCCCATGCCAAATCCCACAGGACCACACCCCATTTCAATGTCACCAGGGTACAAAATGCAGATGTGATAGGAATGCTGCCACATAACAGACATTTCAGGAAGTCTCTGTAATTTCTTTAATTATTCAGACAACAGAGCACAAGGATAATAGCTTCAAGTACATTCTTATACATTATTTTAACAGTAATAGATATGTATTTAGTCATAAACTATTCTGTAGCCACCACTATGTGTACATTTTATACAAACTATTGCCATACTTGGACCCTGAAAATGGACAGTGACATCTCCTAGATGTTTTGCACAATGTCATGACAGTACATCCTTCATATGAGAGCTGTAACTATAAGCTGGATTGGTCCATCTAACGAAGCACTTCTAATGCATATCACGGAGGGGTGATTTGGATGTGAGGCGCTGAGGGAAGAGATGTAATAAATATATGGTGAGAGGCAGGCATACAGTCACTTGAAATACGTGTGATGGAGAACACGGCACAGCATTTCTTTGCTTGGTAAAACAGATCGATCCTAGTATTAAACAGCATCTTAGTTTCTCTCACACCAGAAAGCTCTGAGCTCATCTTGGCCATTCAGTGAAGATTAAATACAGCAGTGTCTGACACAGTTCCCTACCAAGGCATGCACTCTACCCTGAGACAAGTGTGGTCTCTGGTCTAATGGTCTTTTTCATCTCAGTTACAATTCACACCAAAGACCCCAAGCCAAGGACTTGAAGTTTGATCACTGATATCCCTGAACACCTCCACCACCTGACCTCTGGAGAAAGTAGGCTCCAGAACACTTGTTTTTGAGTGTAAAGGATTTACAAAATGTCAGCCACCATTCAGAGACAGAGCTAAAAGAGCTCAGATGCTCAGACACTGCCATATGAAGACCATACTCTTACAGCAGAGACTCATTTGTTCCACAATCACAATTTTACATGCCCCAAACCAGCTATGTTTGCAGCCCCTGTTACACAGGCAGACCCCAACAACACAGAGGTGTCAAGAGTCCAAGCCGGGGTAGGCAGCAGGTCCCCAGCACCCACCAGGCAGTACACAGTCCCCCATGATGCCCTATACCATGAGGGCATTAGGGTGGCTTGGTTCCTATCCCGGCTGCATGATGGTGGGGTTGCACCGAAGTCTCACCACCCTGGCCATGTCCGAGCTTCAGAGATGGAAGTGGCTCTGGACTAGAAGCTGCTGGGAAGGAGAGACCACATCCATCTGTTAGGGCTTGACACGGGGGATGCTCATGCCTGGGGCTCTGCCACCAGCTCCAGGCACTGCTCCAGAAGCTACCAGGCTTTCAGCATGGAAGAGCATGCTCTACGCTCTCTGGAGGAGGCCCCAGGCAGGGACATCCCAGGAGGTCAGTGGAGCTGCTGTCTATCGTGTCGGAGGACACGGCTGCATCTCTGGCGCAAAATGCTGCCCGATGGATGAACATCCTCCACCAGCGAGTAATGGAAACTGAAGAAAAGGTGAGAAGACATTCAAGGAAAGCTCCCTTCCGGCACGGTCCTGTCGCAGATGCACACACACACGCACACACAATGTTTTGCAGAATTGTTAAAGGGATCCTGGAAACCCTCTGGGGAGGAGCACACGGTGCAGCAGAACCTCACTCATTGGCACCCATTGAGAACGAGCCCCTTGGTAGGGCTTGGGGCTGGGACCAGCCAGGGGATGCATCATTGGCCCCACCACTTGGATCCTAGAACACATCTCCAATACTTCACCCATCGATGGCTCGGGATGGACTTTGATGTGTCACAACTAAGGAACATCTCTCATGAGAAATGAACCAATTTTTATCCCTTTTTTTTCTTGTTTAGCAAAAGGTGTTTGTTCTTTTCTTGGTGGCTCCAAGCCTGGCAACATTACTCAGGCAATATGGCCAGTAAAATCAAGTGGCCATCTCCTTCTTCCAGCATCAGCCACGTGAATCCTTGTTAATTCATCAAAGGCAGTGTCTCTCCCCCAGATTTCCATCTTCTGAGCACCCAAATTAAAGCTGATTAAAATCCTGGTGCTGCCTTAGATTGAAGGCAGCAGCCTGACTTCAGATTAACACGCTTCAAACGGTGAATGTGATAGAACACCCTCATAAATCACTTTTCAGAGCTGTCTGTGGTCTCCAGACCAGATCAGGAGATGGACACAGAGCTGGAACTGGAGCTGAAAGAGGGAAACATCCCCTAAGCATGGACAAGGAGCCAGGGCTCCAGTGAAGGGAAACCACGTCTCCCAGTAGCTCGTGCAAATGAGTGAGGTTCTACTATTAGTACAAGAGATTCCAGGTTACGTGCAGATGTGATGGATTCATTTCCTTAATTAAAGTACCAAAATTAAAAGTTATAAGAAACACATCTAAATAAAATAATGGGCACTCCTTTAGGCAAAGTTTCCTAAACCAATAAGCAAAAAGGGGGGAAAAAATGGGATGCACCAGGAACTCTTAGTTATTATATACTAACCAGACTGTGCATGGCACATTTTATTTCTATAAAACTATTAAAACTATTACAAAATATTCAAAAAATACATTTTAGTAAATTTACAGCAGTTATTTCTCAATTTATTAATGCAAAACATCCTTTTCTCCCCTCTGTACAAACTATCGTCTCCATCGTCACGGAATTGCCGCCATGTGCGCTTTTTAAAAAATATTATTTTCTAATAAACTTTTTTTTTTTCTTTTGAAGTTAAAAATAACAAAGTTTCTTATGGTTTTTTTTTTTTTATGCAAATAAAACGTTGGTGTAACAGTCTTGACTTCCATGAACGTGGCCAAATGGTGTTTTTTTTACAAAGCAAAACATGGAAAACAATACAGGTAATGACGTTACATTTGAAGCTATTTAAATTAAAATAATATATTCTCAATATTTTACACTATTTCAAAAAATGAAATGTGATTCAGTTAAGTATTGATCTCTCAAAAAAATCTAATTTACAATTCTGTGTATAAAAATATAATTTACGGACCCCCATGAAGTTTGTCTTTTTCGGTGTGTTTGTTTCTTTGCTTGCTTGTTTTTTAGGCTTGCTGAAATGAAGGAGCAATGGAATGGAGAGATGGGAACGTACAGAACTTTGCTTTCTGAAAGTCAGGACACACATGACATGTAGAAAAATAGACTCTGCGCAGTTTTGCTTGGCCTCACAAAATAATCTTTTCCCCTATGAGTACAGTTCACATGATAATAAATTATCAAAGAAACTATTTAAGGCTCTTGAAGGTCCGGTTCATATCATTTAAAACATCTATTCAAAATACCAAAGAAATAAATATCCAGGAGAGGAGGAAAAAAAAATAATAAACAAAACCAACAACAACAAAAAAAACCAACAAACAAAACAACAAAACAAAAGAACAAATAAAAATATATATATATTTATAAACTAAACAGAACAGAACTTCCTGGGGTCTTTGTTTCCCTTAAAGTCTACTTTGGACTGTCCTACTTAATTATTATTATTTTATTATTATTATTTTTAAGTCTTAATCCGTGCTCTTTTAAAAATATGTAATTTTTTCTTTTTTCTTTTTTTTTTTAGGTTTTTCTTTTCTTTTTTTTTCCTTTTTTTTTTTTTTCCTTTTTTCCTCCTTTTTCTTTCTCTCTCTCTCTCCCTGTGTGTCTCTGTCTCTCCCTCGGAGGCTGACTGGCGGCCGGGGCAGCACAGGATGCTCTCAGCTGGACGGCACCACCATGCCCAGCGGGTGCAGAGAGTCACTATCCAGCACCCAGCTGCCAATGCGGTAGAGGAGGCGAGAGTACCAGTGGATGCCAGGGGAGGTCGGGGCATCCGTGGGGGGCCCCCCGCTGGAAGGGCAGAGGGTGGCCAGCATCCCCTGGAGCAGACGGAAGGGAGCGAAGGCCCAGTGTGCCCAGCTGTGCTCCTCAATGACGGCATAGCAGGAGGCCAGCACCCGGTTGATGAGGATGGTGCCCTGGGCAGTGAGCGGGGCATATGCTCCCGAAGCTTCCTCTCGCAGTGAGACGCTGTGCACGGCCGCTGGCAGGAGGTGCTGCCCTCCCTCTCCCAACACATAGACTCGTTGGCCAGGTCGTACACGGCTGGCAAAGAGCGCCTGGCTGCTGAGGGTCCCTGCCTGCGACTGGTTATGTTGGGGGGCCACGAAGAGGAGGTGGGCAGCCGTCAGCAGCAGCCGGGCCCGGGGCTGCCTTGTCTCAATGACATAGAAGAGCTTGTGAGACCCGTCCTCCCGGTCGAGGAAGGCGAGGAAGTCGCTGTAGAGCAGCCGTCCCTCTGCATCAGCAACAAGCACACGGTCCCCAGGGCTCAGGTCCTTCACCAGCTTGGTGCCGCCTTGCTCCAGGTGCACCGTGGCCGAACCAGGGAAGCAGCCCCCAGATTTGGCTGCCACCGAGTTTTCTGTGCAAGGAGAGAGGTACAGCAGGGTTAGAGGGGGCATCCACAAGGTCAGGGCTTGGGGCATGAGGGAACACCCCACTTCCCTGGACACCCCATTCTGCCTGAGAGGCACAGGTGCAGGACTCAGCCTTTCTCTTCTCCAAAATTCCTCCATCCTCATCTACAAACATGCCCCGTTTGGACTCAGTAGGTCAAGTGAGAGTACCCTTCCTGACAGATTTGAGCCGATGCATCTCCCTGTGGGTTAGGATTTACAAGGGTGGCTTGTTTCATTAAGGAAATATTCCTGCTGAGAAAGCTGTTCCAGAACAAATCTGTTCTGGAAGAGCTTCCCACTTGGCTACTGTTTGCCCTGCATCAACACTTGATGGCAGATAACTCACAGGCTTTTAAAGCAGGGTGGTTTTCCTGGCATAAGTTTTCTCCTCTCGGTGACTGTTCATGCTCACAATGTTCAGGATCCCCACTCAGCTGTTACTGAAGGACCCCATCTTGGGCAGCAAACAGCAGAGAGCAGGAGGAGGCTTTGCCACGAGGAGCACAAGAATTTGCTCATTGCCTTAGTGGAAAGCATCTCCCTAGATAGCATCTTCCTTGCCTTTCCCACCCAACTGGAAGAAGAATGCTGTTCCCTGCCCCAAGGTGTCCCTGGCCAGCTCCATGCCTGTTCCAGACCCAAGAACAGCCCTCCTTCACCTCCTCCAGCTCTTGAAGCTACTCAGTTTAGATACAAAATGCTGCCGCCAGCTACTGCTGCTTTCCAGTGGTACGGAGACAAACAATCACAATCACAGAAAACAAATATCATCTCTCTTGCAAACCCCCTTCTGGAAGCTGAGCCACATGAGGAGCAGTGGGAGAGGACCTCTGCCCTGTTCCAGGCTGATCTCTGACTTTAACAAGGAACTCTGCAGTGCTCCTAAAAGCTCTGTTTTTCTGTATACTGGGTAATATCACACAGTATGTCACAGTAGGAAGCATCTTTGCTACAGCTGTTGACATTCCTTACCCCTCCCTTGCTTTCTCCTGGTTTCTCCCAGTTACTCGCTAAGCCAGTTTAGAGTCCTGGTGATTTATCTCCTAAAGGTGGTTAGATTTTATATTTTGCCTCTGTGGTTGGTACTAAAGCTCTTATGATTTAAATAAATCCTTGGAAGGTCTCCTAATGACTTTCTCAGGAAGGACAGGAAGGGTGAAAATTAGACCGTTATTGATTTGCTAACGACTTTATCACTTCTCCTTCAGAATGAAGCAGCGAGATCTCTAAGGCCTCTTCAGGGAGGACATGGCAACAAACAAGCTATGTGCTTTATGTGGAGCCCTCCGCCAGCAAACTACACCTTCCTACAAGCCGGCGGTAAAGGTCTGGCTAGAGCTTTGTTTGCATATTCAGGGACTTGATGAATAGATCTAGTAGTGTAGCAGCTCTACAAACATACCAGTGAACGGGCAGAGGTGTGAAAATCTGCTTCTTTGAGCAGTGCTTGTTTGGGTTCTCTAATTAAAATCCAATAAAGGATCAGCATTGTCATTCTGATTCATGTAATAAATGCAGCCACTCTTGGAAGAGAGGACACTTCCATTTTTTTCCCAGCTTCTTCCCCCCTTTCCTCCCCCTCCCTATTTGTTCAGGTGCAGAAACCCTATGTGCCAATTCACACACATACTCTCCAAAAAACCCAGGACCTTCCAAGCACTATTTGCACAGCAGAGCCACTTTTCCAAAGCACTCAAGATCTGTATTTGAATTTTAAATGTAGAAGCTTGCTCTAAATACTTGCTGTAGCGCATTATCAATGTCCCTTTTACCACCCCTGCCTCTCCCTCCTCTGTCCTGGTGACAATAATTCAGGCCTTGGGGGAACTCTTCTTTGCATTCCAGTCTCCAGGATCATACTTTTTGCAAACAGAGATCTAGATAAAGAATCTTCCTGCCTGGCATTATGGGGTTTAATCTTCTCATAAGATGCTCTGTCATGAAGCGAGGTTTGGACAGTTTGAAATCAGGCTGAGTGGGTGGAATTCAAGCCTGCTCCCTTGCAGCCCGCATGGTATAGTCACACGACCCTGCCTGACACCCTCTAAATATTGCCCCCAAGTCCGTGTGTTCCGAATCTCAATGAGCAGCTCGGGGTTACTCCTGCCCTATGAAACACCCACTGGGGTGGATTAGGGAGTGCGCTTGGCCTGGGGTCATCACGCACCACAATCGACACCTTGCTCTATAAAGCTCATCTTTGCTATTGAAAGGGGTGTTTCATATCACCGCAGGGCTGACAGCTTTGCAGGGCCTCCTTTTGCCTAGAAAGGACCAGGGAGCTGAACAAAAGCCGTAGCAGGCTCTCAGGACAAAGCCCACATGGGCTGGGAAAGGTGCTACCTCGGCTCAGCCCCGAGGAGGTTTGGGCTGGATCAGGGGGGATAAACCCCTCTTGCAGACCCCTCTTGCAGCCTTGCCATGCCTGTTTCCCCATCGTGGGGCTGCTGGTTTTGAAGCAAACGGCTACATTTAAAGAAAGCCCATTATTTTGTTTTGCAACCCAGTGTTTCCTGACACTTCCGGCGGGCTGCTGGGCTAGAGGATGTTGTATAAAGCGCTTTAGCTGACATGCAGGCGGGTGGTGGGAGGCGGGGGGGGGCTCGGACTGGCACTTGCCAGACGTTTTGCTTCCCCCCCAAAAAAGTGTTCAGTATCAAGAAAATGAACTCTGCGAGCCGGGGATTTCTTGAGAGCTGTTCCCAGGTTGAGACAGCGTGTGGCGTTGTAAGCACAGGGGAGCGGAGGGAAAAAAATTATATGTATGTGTATCCCTATCTGGGAATTTCCTAGCGACTACCGCTGAAGAACGCAGGGGACCACGTTAGTTATTTATTTTCCTGGAGATTAGCGATCGCGAGTAAGGGCGTGCAGCCAGCGGGGCGGCTGGAGACGGCCACTAGTGTTTGTGTTGAACATGCTCTTTGGATGGGGAAAGCATCAGATCCCACGGGGGGAGGAGAAGGGTGTGTGGCTGCGGCGCAGCGCTCGGGGGAAGGCTGGGCAGGCAAATCACCCAAATAAAAATGCTGTCCAAAAGTGCTGCAGCTGGCTGGCCTTTTTTCTTTTCTTTTTTTTTTTCCTTTTTTCGCCTTTTCCCTGCCCCCCCCCCCCCCCCCCCCCTTCCTTCCTTCCCTAAGAGGCTGCGCCGTCGGCGGTCCCGCTCCGTATCCTCGAGGGCGTTCCAGACGGGTCGGGCAGGACTGATAGGGACCGTGCAGGGACGGCGAGGGGGGAGCCCGGGCGGCATCGGAAAGGGCGGAGAAAGCTCTGGGGGGCTGAGCCGTGGCCCGGAGGTGGCCTCCCCCCCCCCCCCCCCCCCCAACCCCGACGTGCCCCTGGGCAGGCTGCCCGCCTTACCTGCTTTGACGGAGCAGTGGATGTGCGCCTTGGACTCGTAGTAGACCCAATCGAAGCCGGCTTCGACGGCCAGGCGGGCCAGCATGCCGTACTTGCTGCGGTCCCGGTCCGAGGTGGTGATGTCCACGGCGCGGCCCTCGTAGTGCAGGGACTCTTCGGAGTGGTGGCCGTCCTCGTCCCAGCCCTCTGTCACCCGCAGCTTTACCCCGGGCCACTGATTCATCACCGAGATCGCCAGGGCGTTCAGCTTGTCCTTGCAGCGCTGCAGGGCACACGGGGAAGGGGGCATGGCGGGGGCTGCTGCAGCCAGGGCAGGCACCCCCTTCACCATCTATTCCCCCTCAGGGTAGCAACCTGCTCCCCCTCCCCAGCCAAATGGGCCTAGTCGTCCCCCTTCTATCCCTCCCCTTCAAACGTGCCGCACGATGCTCAGCCCTGACTTGGCCAGGCTGAGCATCTTTCCCGCTGCCGGGGAGAAACAGGGAGGCAGGTGAGGAGGAGGAGGGGGGGTGAAATTTAGGGACACTGGAGGAAGAGGGGTTGAAACACCGCAAAGACCAAGCGGGACGGAGTCGCCCCTTTCCCCGGCACCTGCCGCAGGGACAGGGAGACCCCCAGAGCCACCGCCGACCCTGTGTCGGCTCAAAGCCACCTGCACCGAGCAAATTCCTGCCGCTAAGTGCCCTGTCCCCTTTCCGAGAGCAAAGTTTCTGCCGAGAACAAACACTCGCCATATATCTCGGAGTCACGGATTCCCTCCCGGAATGTCTCTCCGGGTCTTTTCAGCTTAATTCTGTGTTGAAAGGGGTCTCAATACATGTTAACAGCCTTTATGTGCTGGAGGGAGGGGTGGGGTTTTTTTTCTCTCCCTTCGCCCATCACTCATTAGAGCCCTCAAAGCAGCATGGGCTGGGAGCATTCACTCCGCTTCAAACATACATCGGTGCTCGCCTACAAAGCCGAGCAAATCCATACAATAATATAGCTCTTAGTGGGAAGATGAAAAGCAAGGGAGGGCCAAGGAGGGAAGTTAAGCAAAGCAGGGATGCTATGCAAGCCAGGAGACTCTTTGTGTGGAGTGAAACGTTTCCAACTCCGTAGAGAAGCACTACAGGGTTTGCCGTCGCCCCTCCGGAGCCACTGGCCTTCCCCGGGGCCTGCAGCACGGGGCTCCTGAAGTGACAGAGCAAAGGTGGGGGAAAGGAAAGGGAAGTGTCTACAGCGGTGGAGGGGGCTGAGCGCTAAATCAAACCCTGAAAGTTTGGGGCGGGGGGGTATCTTATCTTAGCCAATGGGGGGGGGGGAGCAGAAATAGACATACCAGTGGGTAGGGAAAAAGAGCTCGTAGCTCCCCGGAAATAGGAAATCAGCACCAAAAGCATAGAAACCGTTTGGCTAAAGGTACAGTTAGAAATTCACACGTTGCCAACTTCCCCCCCCCCTTCCCTCTTTTGAGAGGAAAATAACTCGCTGATACACGGGTGGTAGTTCGCTTGGTGCAGATACCAATGTGGATTACAGCCCCGACGGGATGCAGCAAGCTGCTCTTCCCTTGCTTTTCCTGGCCTGACCGGGATGTTCGGCCGTCTGCAGGACCATTCCCTCACGTGTGCTCCCAGCACACATACTAACACACCGCAAAGGCCCCAGCAAGGCAAAGCCCCTCCATCACCCCGACGACGCTACTTTTAGGGACGTGACAAGGTTGTTCAACAAGAAAGTTCCCGGGTGTCTATTAACTGCCATAAAAAGCAATTCCAGCAATACACAAGTTCCCAAGAGATATAAAATGCAATCGTGAGCTCACTTTGGACTCTCTGGCCTACCGTTTTATGGAAACAGCAGGGTGTTTGGGCTACCGCACTGTTCCCGGCAGCAAAGCGCATCAGCACAAGGAAGTTGAGATTAATTTGTTTTCCCCTCTTTCTCCCCCTCACACACCTGAGAGGATGGACATGTTCCTCCACCGAGTTACAGGGGGAAGGGAGCGAAGGATCAAACGTCTCAGCTACTGATAAGGCAACAGACCTGCGCCTCAAGGTGATGTCTTGGCCTGCTGCTGCTGCGCAGGGAAAGCAGCGGGCAGCGGTGCGGGGTTCTGCGGGGTTCTTCCAGCTCCAGGCCTGCCAGCATCAGCTCCCGGCTTCAGGCGAAATGAAGGAGAAACGATCTCCTAAAAGGACTTTCCTCCCTTTTATACTGCCTGAGCTGGATTGTCAGAGTCAAAAGCCGTGAAGCACAGACTATTTATTAATTCATTGGGTCGTGTGCCACAAATCAAGCCCAATTCTGTTCAGCCACCGTGAAGCTCAGCAGGGCTGCCTTCACTAACGCTTTGTGTGGAGGCAAAGTTGTTCAACAAGCCCTCTCCTGCCAGCTCCTAATCTCTTCACAAATGAATTGCTTGAAGGAAACACTTAACAGGTACCTGTCAGTGTAAACAACCTGGTGGGCTTCCTAAATGCCAAGTTGATCTCTAAATTCCTCACATCACGCACCGGTTGTGTGCCTGCATTACACGAGATTGCTATTTTATTTCATACAAATTCCAGCTTTATCATACTGACCTGGCCTCCTTATCTCTCCCCAGAATCCAGCCAATGGCTGGGGTGGGGGGGAGGGAAGGGAGGAAGGGGGGAACCTTCAGCAAACTCCTGTTGTCACCTGCGAAGTTGAGAACCTGACTTACCTACCTCTGTTTGCGTTTTCTCCCCCCTTCCTTCTGGAGTTAATATTAACTGGCGGCTAATGCATTCGGCAACTATTCTGCAAGTTTAAAGATTCTATTCAAGAAAGGTCTCTCCATGGTTGAAGGGCTCGCGAAGCAGGCGTTTGAAGGCTGGGATTTAACAAGAGGTCGCTGGCCGGGGGAGAGAGGGAAAGAGAGAGAAGCAGGGCAGGGATACCGGCGGCGGCACCTCGGGGAGCTGCCGGCCCGACCCTGCCCGGGGAAGAAGTGGGGGTCCAGGGCGACCCTTCCGCCCGCTCCCCAGCCGCGCTCCCCGCCTCGCCGGGGGGAGACAGAGACTGGCTCGGTTCCCCACACACACACCCCTCCCTTCCCCTCTTTGCCACTGGCTTCCAGGCGTTACGGCCTCCCCGTCCCCGCTGCCTTCAGCCCACCTCCCCCCTTTGTGTCTAAGGCACTGGAATAAGCACTGAAGGAGGGGGGAGAAAAAAAAAGTATTTGTTTTCGTTTCGTTCGTCTGAGGGAAGTTGACAGAAGGTCAGGAGTTCAGACGCTGCCAGCTAATGCAGCGAGAGCGGCCAGCCGCGGAGCCGGCGCGGCGTGCCCCGGGAGAGCCGCCGGGCCGGGGTCAGCCCGCCCGCCGCCCCGGCCCGCAGCCCACCTCTCCCGGCCGGCTCCCGGCTCCCCCCTTCCCCTCCGCCCCGCTCCGCCGCGCACACGCATCGGCGCAGCCGCGCAGGGAGGGATGCGCCGTGCCCCGGCGGGAGCTCGGCTCCCGCGGAGCCGCCGCCGCCGGGCTGCGGAGGAAAGGGCGAAACCCGAGCCGGCGCGATCGATACGCGAGGGGAGTAAGTGGAGCTGAAAATGCGAGAGATGCTGCTGGCGCGCCGCACGCCTCTCACCGGAGGCAGCGAGGGCGGAGGGAGGACCGCGGGTGCGCAGAGGGGCGCGGACAGCGCTGCGCCCGAGCGGGGCACCGGCACCAGCTCCGCTCCGCACCCCTGCGCGGGGCAGTGGAGCGCGAGGAGGGACGCGCCGCCGCTCTGCGAGGTGCGGTGCGATTTAAGGTGGTCGGGAGGAGATAGATGGTGGCGGCCGCCGGTCCCTCGCCCCGGGAGACCCGAGAAACGTGCGGAAAATCAGGCCGAGGAACGGGGAGAGTTTGGGAAATTCCGCCCCCCCACCCCCTCTTCCCCGCGTCCACTCCCCGCCTAGTCCTTCCCGGCGAGTCCTGTTCTAGCACTGAAGGTGGGGCTTAAGTGTATTAATATTAAAAAAGCGCTGTTGACCTATATTTGGAGGAAACCCATTTCCAGTGCCTAGATTGCATTTAGTTTCAGAAACTCCGGGATTGGCAGAGCAATTGACTTCACCAAGCTCTCTGTTGAGCATGAATAATAATTATGAGGTGACTCTCGGAGAGGTTCTCGCTCCCTCTCCCTTTCTCTTTCTCTCTCTATTTTTTTTTTTCCTCTTTTTGTATAAAATGGTTCCGCAATCCGATTCCACCCGAGATCCAATATTTACCCAGTTGTAAACCTTGTGCCATCAGATTTTTTAAAACAGAAGGTGATGCAATGCCGATAAGTTGCAAGTCCCTCCCCTGTGGAAGTACCAGAGCATTGGTTGCGAGCATCCTTAAAGAAATATCAATATATTTACGCTCTGATGGGCACAATAACAAATGATGGTATTGCAATACGAGCTGTAATAATACGGAATCAGGAGAGGAATGGTCGATCCGGCTTCAGCTGCCTTTTGTGAGTGCACAACTGCATGCCTACTATATTTAGAATATGCTCGCGAGGGGAAAATAATAGTAATAATGAAGGATAAAATGAAATGAGAGAAAAAAAGGGAAAAGAAATAAAATAAGATATATCTATCTATATATATATAAGATCAAGTCAGCAGGCGTAGCAACCGAGGAGTACGTTTGTAATAATGAGTGGGTGGCCTGGCGGTCACTATACACTTGGGGTCCTCTGTGCTGTTCGCAATTCGTTTGATCAAAGTGCATCCTTGGGGACAAATACAAACAGCAATCTCTAACCAAGTTACAGGGAACGCCATGGCACGGTAATGACTGTAAGTATCACACAGATTCCCCCACCGAACAGCCAGATAGCTCCAGCCCCTGCTAACTTGTCTGGAGAGATGGTATTTACATTCAATGGGGGGAACTAGCCGAGTTTGGAGGGGCGGGGGGAGGAGGGGGAGAGGGAAAGGGGGGGCTTTCAAAAATACTAAGACAGATGCGTCCTTTAGGATTGCTCAGAGAGGTTAACAAACACAAATACAGGTATCTCTGTGGCTCTACCTGAGTCATCAGTCTGTCAGCTCCCGTGTTCTCTTCATCCTTAAAAATAATGTCAGGGTTGTAATTTGGGGTTAGTTCTTTAAATCTCTCGGAGTTTCTTGTGATCTTCCCTTCATATCTTCCACTGGCCCCTAGGGTCTTCTCTGCCACATTGGGAATAAACTGCTTATAGGCTAAAGGGGTCAGCTTTTTGGGGTGTCTCCTTTTTCCAATGCCCCTGCCTGGTCCACAAGTCAGCCCAGAGGAGACTAAAAGAGCGCAGATGAAGCCCACCAAGAGAATTCTTGTCAACAGCAGCATTTCGTCCATTGAATCCAATTACTTCAAAGCTCTCTGTGCCTATCCCTGGCTGTCTCTCTAGAGCTCTCTCGCCTCCTCTATGTCCTTGTCTGCTTTCTGAATCGTATACTATCCACCGATCCCTAGCAAGACAGGTGCTGGAATGGCAGGCTTTAGGTCGCTGATAACGGAACACATCGGAGTTTGGTCGGGAGACAGCAATCGAGAGACAAAAAAAGGGTCTGATTTTAATGGTAGCAAAGCAAGACGCTTGTGAGAGGAGTCTGCCTTTAGTTCTATATTATAGCTGCCAGGGCCGCGAGCTGATTGGCCAAGGCGAGACAAGCTTGTCTTCTGATGTTTTAACCCTCAAAAAGGCAACAAATTCTTGAAAGATTTTTTTTTACCTCCTTATACCTGAAGGGCTTGGAGCTGAGCGGGGTGGAGATCGCGCTTTCTTGGGATAACATCAATTACACGCTGGGTTTTCTTTCTTTTTTTTTTTTTTTTTCTTCTTCTTTTTTCTTCCTTTTTTTCAAAAACTTTCTTGGCAGAATGGTACATTTGTCAGCAAGAGGAACAGATGCCTCTGTGGAAGAAAGGGGTGGGGGGGGAATAAGATTAGCAGCCTGCCTCAGTGCAAGTCAAGTTTCTGAGGGCAGTTGCGGTTAAATAAAATGCCGAATTATCGGGGAGCCGTGCAAATAAAAAACGCATTGGGGAAATATTAACGCCCGGGGAGGAGGGGGGGGAGGGGGTATAGGTAATGCCACTTAAGAGCGCACCCAGCTAAAGGGCTTTATAACAGGTTTCTTCCTCCTGAAAAGGGAGATTGCTCTCCCTCCTGGAGACATACGTTTTTAACCACACTCGCCTTTTAGCTGATAAATGACTACTTTAAAGGCAGAAACAAGCCTGATGCGAGGCGGCAGTTATATGAAGTTAGCGCGTCTGACTTGTGTATCACACAGCTGCACTGGGGAGAGATCTAAATGCCACTTCTCTTTTCCTTTTTAAATAATAAACCCGGGACCATCACCCACTTTAAAATAATTCTGTACCTTCAGAAGTGCATGAAAAGTCATCTGATTAAAAATAGATGCTCTCCTGAGCACGCTGGGGCTGCATTCTTTGTTTCTTGGGTCCAAGGCGAAGAGGAGCGTTTTAGACTCTTACACCTCCTTGCGGGGTGTCATTAAGTTTTTAAGAAAAGCATCGTGTTGAAAGCATCCGCAAACACAATTAACAGAGATCGATCCAAGCGAAGTGAATGGAAAGGGGATAAGTTTAATGTTAAATTAATTGTTATCTCATGCAGCATGGCAAGTGATGTCTTTATCCCGATCTCCAAAAGCTACTAATCAGACAAAGGTGTTGAGAGACGAGCAAAATCGCAGAGATGGGGCTGATAGAGCAGGTTAGACAGAGAAGCAGAGTCCCATATGAACAAACACTTCTCTGCCTGTGAAGAGCTCATTTACTTTTGCTCCTTAAGAAAATACAGTTTGTCCAAGGACCTAGAAAGTTTCAGGAGTTTTTTTAGGAGTTCTTAAAAATGCCAGGAGGACACGCTGGAGTAATTCAAAGTCCACTCTCTGACAACCCCCTCCCAAATAACTTTTTCTTTTCTTTTTTTTTTTTTTCCCCTTTTCTAAAGAAAAAAGCTGTTTGGGGTGAGCAGTTATATGGGAGTTTTCCGGCCCGTGACATCGAGCTGAGTCTTAATCAACTTAAACCACGAGAAAATGGACTTTAAAATTAGCTTTAAAGTGGTAAAAAAGCTGCATATCCGTAAGCTGGAACAAGCAGGACAGCACGGACTTTTCAAGGGACAAAGTGGTCTTTTTTTTTCACGTAAACTTTACAAAAGAGCCGAAAGGAGTGATACGAAGCTCTCACACCGACTCCAACTGATGATCTTCCCCCCCTTTTTTTAGCCTACACTTTTCCTCTGCTATTTATGTTTCTTTGTAGAGTTTCAGTGAATCATTGATTTCTTACTCACTCTTCTTTCTATTGAAGAGTTTTGACTTGGGAACGGCAGAAAAGTTAGAAAGCCAGCAGCTTGGCTTCTAGGTTTTTATCAACCAACTTAGTTGCAGAAACAAGTTGTAGAACAGCTAAATACCTGCTTCATGCTGTTAAAAAACAAACTTCAGTTTTATCTCCCCGTCTGCGTGCATGTGAGAAGACAGATACAAGGAATATATAATTTATACAAAAGAGGGTATGTTCTTTTGATGTGGTTGCTTAAACAGCATGACTTGATATAACAGTTGATTAAACAGTGCCAAGGAATAAAAGCTATTCTTAATGGTGTGGGATACTGCAAATCTTTTATCACCCCTCTTACCTTGTCCCCTCCCTAGGGAAAGATGATCGATATCCCAGGCACTAGACGGGTGGACATCGCAATGAAGAAGTATAGAGAATAAGGATAAACTCCCTCATTATCAGATTGCCATATGTACAAAGCAGTCACCCAAAGATTAACAGGAAAGGAAACGCAAAGAAGGAATTAATTAAATGCAAGTAATAAATGCGAGGGAAGGGGGGGGGGTAAAGGGAGAAATCAAGAAAAGTAACTGTGGGAAGCTTGAAATCACCCTCCTATCAAATTAGATGTGAAAGAAAGCAGAGCTGGGGGGTGCAGGGAGGCTCTGCTCAGTTTCAGAGCAGGCTGGTGCTGGCCGCGGCCCCGCCGGGACCTGGGCGGGGGGACCCGGGGGGACGCGCTCCCTCCCGCCCCGCCGCTCCCCGGGCCTCCGGGATGCGCCCTGCCTCTCCTACCCACGATAAGGTTTTATTTTTCTTCCTTTTATTTCTTTTTTCCTCCCTTATGTGCCACATCTTCTGGGGAAAACTACCCCCAGAACCCCCCAGACACAGCCTCCCGCTGGCGGGAGAGGCCCCGGCGCACATGTGCCCCAGGCTGGTGCCCCGGCCCCGCCGGCCGTGCACACCCATCAGCCCCAGCCCCAGCCCCATCCCGGCCCGACCCACACCCACCCCTGCCTGCGCTCAGGTTGTAACAACAACAACAGCAGCAGCAAAAGCCCCAGCCAAAGCAGCAACAACAGCCACTGATCGGGCAGTGGTGCTCTCTTTACAGGGGTTAATGCCTTGTTTGCGGATCATAAAAATCAATGGTGTGGCCTGTTGGCTCCCCAAATCTGCAGGCTACTCTTTTGCTCCCTGGGGAGGCAAGCTGGGGCTGTCCCAGTCTTCTGATGCTCTGCACCTCTCTGCCCATGCCACCACAAACCAAGGCCACTGCTGACTCCCATCTGGGGCAAGCCCCCAGGGGTCCCTTCAGGGCTGCACAGGGTGAGGGTACTGGGGAAGGCCCCTAATTGCACGCTCACTTGCCCCACCACCCCTTTCCCACACAGCCCCGTCCCTTCATCTGGAGCTGCCATCAGGCTCCCTGTTGGGCCCCAGAGCCCTGGTGGGGTGGTGAGGGTGCCCTGGTCCTCCTGGGTGCAGCAAGCACCACAGTTCCAGGAGCATCAACCACTGACCCCACATAGTCTTACCTTTCTTGCTTTTGTAGAAGCACCCATCATAGCCCTACTTTCTTTGCTGGCATATGGGCTCTTCCAGCAGCTTTGCCAAACACCATGGCAGCTCTAAGGGCTGTGCACCCTGCGGGCCCATGCCTAGGGCCTTGGGACCACATGGAGCCCAGGCTACAGAGGGGCGGATGTGTGTGCAACTGAGCCCAGGCCAAGCTATTTGAAAACCTCAGTTATTATTGATCTACTTTTTTTTTTTTTTTAATTGTTATTTTTTTATTTAGTTTTTAAATCTGGACTTGCTGTTGGCTGTTTGCTCTGCATAAAGCCAGAGGAGGGCTCAGACTGCAGAAGTGAGGTTGCTTTTTGGCTATTTTAAGCTGAGTTTTCTTGAGCTGATGTATTTTGATTGATGAATCCCAAAATACAGGATGTTCCCCTCAGAAAACTGGAGAGGTTCATTCTCATAGCTCTTTGCACTGATGGTATTACAATTTCTATCGTGAAAATCAACTTAGAAATTTAAGTTCAGAATTCCTGGCCAGCCTGCAGCTATACCTTTACAGTGACAAGCAGAACAAGTCTTGTTCCTTGGAACTGCCGTCCAAAAAACCCAGACCCCTGGCACCAACAAGAACAATTAAGCTCCTGGGTTTCTACCCATATTGGTTTGACAAGCAAAATTCAGGGGGCCACACAGCTGAAGCCTGGTACCTGCTTCGATATGCCCTTGGTTTGGCAATAATCTATGAGTATTTCTGCTACAGGGAAGAAATATTATGTGCATAAGAAGATGCAGAGAATGGTTGCTTTCCAGAATAACTGTGTCTACAGGCATTGATTTTGCAGTTTTCATATCCATCTCTTTGTGGATTAATGCTAATCATTGGCTTGAATATGGTCAATAGAACCTTCCATTACACATGCAAAAAAATATTGTAGGCAGCATGATTCAGAAGACTTTGTTGTCTATGGTTTGTGTGTATATTTGCTGCTAATACATATTTTAAGGCAGAGGTCCCTGCAGGTTTCTTTATATCCTCAGCAGGGCAATACATTGTGTCTAAATACAGATTTATAGAAAAACCCTTAGATTTCTCTTTTAGGTCTTTTTGCTTCTCCTTGGATAACCCAACATTTTCCCATACCAATAGGTTTTTCTATTTTCTTTCCTGGATTGTGATCTATATTCCTTTCCAGCCACTTCTTTCTGGTCATGGGCGGGGAAAGTCCCATCTGAGGTGTTTCTATCCATGCGGGTAAGGAGGGAGGGAAGCAGCCGCTAGGGGAGCTCCATGTTGGGAGTAACCTCCGAGCATCTTCCTCACGGTTTACACAACTTTCTGCAGTCCCCAGGAGGGGAAGTCTGAAAGCGGGTGTTAAGTTTAAAACAAAAGAGCAGAAACATACCAAATAGGAAAGTTTTTGAGCTTTATTTCTTCTTTTTTTTTTAAACTACAGTTTTATAACCAAGTGTTTGAAATATGCTGGCTTGTCCCTCTGTACGCTGAATTGTGATGTGTGTGTATGTGTGTGTGAGCTTATCCAAGTGGAGGCAAGAAGTAACCGTGGCACACATTTCTTAGATTTCTGATGACCTATAAAATGGAGAGATATTGAAATGCAGCTGCTTAAAAGCCAGCCATGAGTATGAGAATATCCAGTGTTTAGTGCCAGTCGTAATGCTGACTTGCTTTCTCGGTCATTGGCAGGTGACTTATATCCACATAAACATTTCTAAGAATAAACCTTCAGAAGGAATCATATCTCTGTCTCATTGTTGTTGTTGTTGTAAAAATTAACTGGATTATTAATGGGTAGCATGTTAATTTGGGTTTTGGTTGTTTATCTAAGGAATTTATCTGGGCAGCTGAGTCAATGATCATTAAAGGTTGTGGGTGTATGAAGAGCCAAAATAGATTTTTTTTCCCATGCAGATCAATACTAGCAGGTTCTTACTTGGCAGTCTTGGGGTCCCAC